AATCTTCTACTTTATTAATGGAAGCACAGGGAGGTAATAGCTGGTTAGACCACATTTGGAATACTGCATGTAATTCCGGCTGCCAGATTTTTAAGTGGGAACATAACACACTGGTGTGTTCAGACAAGGGTAACTGGTGATGGGTCTGGAAATCACATTTCCTAAAGGAGTGACTCAAGGAACCAGAAATGTTTGGCCTGGATAAGGGAACACTTAAGATTTTGAAGCCTCCCTCAAAAAATTACAGTGTGGCTGTACTGAAACAACCCTAGAGGGCAAAACAAGGATGAATGAGTCGATGTTATTGAGGGAGTTTTCAGTTGGATTAGGAAGAAAGTTTCTTATAGCTAACACTGGACGAAGCCATGACTATGACAATGGGACCTTCTAAAATGTCATGCAGGCACTCTTGCACTAGGTAAAGGGGTAATTAGAAAGTGTTCTCTAACCTGTGCTTTGATGAGCTTTCAGGCAGCAGTATCTTCAATCAGCAGGACTAGAGAGGACGGCCAGTGGTGACCTCAGTTTGGTGTAGAAAAGAAACAGCTTTGGGAGATCCATGAGCAGAGCCAGGTGTCAGCCTGATCCTGCTCAGCTATAAGTTACCTTGCTGATTATTCTTTAAACCTCAAACCTCTCATCAGTAAATAAACATAAACATTATTGTCCTTTACAGGATGTATTTAGTTAAGACCTTAAAGGTAGGGATAATGCCTTATTTAAAGCAAAGGGTTTGGTACTTGATAGACCCTCAATAAAATTTTTTGAACAAATGAAAGAATACGGACTGTGTGGGAGAGCACTTGAATGGCAGAGAACCATATAAACACAAACTGTCACTCTCTGACATTTCCCCTCTCAAACATAAACAATTTAAGACTAGCAGTGACTCTGACCCCACTAAATATTTCCCTTAAGAGCTAAAGATCATGAGAATTCACTTGATCCTTTTAGGATCAAGGAAATTCACCTGCAAAGGGATAATTTGGAAGGGCGGTGGTTTTCAGACTGAGCATTCTACTTTGCTCATTCTTCAGTGGCACATAAAATACTTTTCAGAAGTTCATGCCTGCATATCCTTGAAGGCATAGATGAAAAGTCCCTCACCCAGAGACATTCCCTGGCTTCTCAAACTGGCCTGTTGTGTTGTCTTATAGCACATTTATTCCCTTCCTTCATTGCTCCCATCAGAGTTTATGATAATACAACTCTCCATGTGATTAGTTGCTTATTATTTACCTTTTCCACACATAAATTCCCTGGGGCAAGAGCTATGTTCTGTTTTTGTTCAGTGCATTTTGTGTAGTCCCAGTACCAAATTTAATGTCTGGCTCATATTAGAATCTCAGTAACTATTTGTTGATTGAATGAATGAAGCTAGCTTTACAATATTTTTGTTAAGTGGAAACTTCTATTGCTTTTTTTGTACCTTGTTTTGGTTTTTCAAAGTAATGTTTCCTAACTTTTGTCAAAAATAATGTTTCTATTAGAAATTGAAATTGCATGCACTATGACAGGATTTAACCTATTTTGCTGATAGGATCTGTACAAATGATCAGTATAAATTTATTTCTTATGCTTTTATTTGTCAAGAACCTAGAGGTTTCTCTTCCTAAGTCAGGCTACCACCTGCTGTCACATGGTAATCAGTTGTTACTTTTGGGCCTCTGGCTGAACATCCACGAGATGTCTTCTAACCAGGTGTGAGATCCAAGGACACAACTCCCGAAAGCCCATACCAACTTTATAATCTAGATTTTGTGGCCTGCCTGTTATGAGCTCTTCTTTGATAACTCTTGATATAAGAATGCTTGTTTGTGAAATTATAAACCTTTTTGTGTATATTCTTTTATATACTGCATTTAAAATTATATGAGATTGTCTTATTTACAAAACTGAGCCCAGGGACCTATGTAGGACTAAAAAAAAAACCCAATGCAGTTTTTTTCCTTGAGGCATAATGGAGATCTTTTGGTGTTTTAATTGTGCTTGTTTAGGCCAGCTTTGAAACTCATATCCCTTCTCTCAGATCAAGGGCTGAGGGGAGGCTCCTAGAAGACAAACCCACCCATCCCAAAAACTGCTCTTTCATCAGGGACAGAGTTACCTCTCTCCCTAGTGATTTATATGCCTGGGGTATTACAGAAAGAATGTTGGTGAGGGTCTGAAACATGTCTTTCTCCAGAGGAGGAAGTGCACCATGGTCTGTAGGACATATGGCATACAGCTCCTAAAAGATTAATGGGAACCTGAGACTTTGCTGGGTCCTCTGACCACGAATGATCAAGGTGTTGGAAGGAGTGCCTCCCCTGAGCTTTGAAGTATCCCTTCAAAAAAAAAAAGTGTGAGGAACTTTAGAGTGAATAGGAGTCCCCAAAATAGTTTGGCAGGCATATGCCTATTGTAAAGAATTCCTGAGACACATATAAGCAAGATTTCAAAACTCTTCAAACCAATGATGGGGAATTTAGGAACCCTTGAGAAGCTTACAGTGTTCATTTTGTAAATTAACAAAACTGGGCACATCTCCAGGGGCTGCAGAGACTCCACAGATTTTCGACGTTCGTCAAATAAGCACGGCTGACGGAAAGCACACCCCTGGCTGCTACAAGTGCAGGTGTCCAGGGTGAGTGCAGTCCTGCCAGCTGCTCATTCATTCTTTTGTCTATCTTTGGCCAGATCCTTCATCTGTTTCCACGGCTACTGCTCTCCCCAGACCCCTTCTTCTTTCCCTCTCTTGGCAGATCATTCACTCCACACTTCACAAATAAACTTGAGGCACTGAGAACCAATTCAACTAATTTCCTGGCCTCATCCTTCCACATGTTTCTACCTACACCTGTGCTCATTCTCACCCCTTTGCCCCATTGGAGAAACAAGTGGTCTTTCTATTCAAGCTCAACTACTTTGCCTGTGCCTTGGACTTATGTCTCTGGGCATATTTTGCTCATATTTTCCACTCTGCTTGCTGGGCTTGTCTCCCACAGTATGTAGCATTTCCTCCCCACTGATCTCATTTTCTTATGGCCACGCTCCTTGAGAGAACAACACTCACCTGCTCTTCTAACTCCCTTGCTTCTACTTACTCCTGAACTTACAATTTCTTATCATTATGTTGCTTGGCATCCTTCAGGGATTTTCCATCCTGTCACAGTTCTCCTCTGGACACTTCCTGTCACTCCACCCAGGTTCTCTTCCTGCCACTTGTCTCCTTTCCCTCCTTTCTTTTGCTGCTCTATACTTGCAGTTGGAGTTTTCCCAGGTCATACCTGGGACTCTTTTGGCCTCCTTCATCCAATCTCATTTTCTTATTCAGTTCATTCATTCAGACATTCATTTATTTCATTAATTTTTATTAAGATATTCCTGTGTTGTCAGATACTCTACTGTGGTCTAGGAAAGAATAAAGTATGCACCTAACTGCCAGGAATCTTGATGCAGTAGGAAATCATTTAAAGAAATAAGTGCAGGGCTGGGGTTGTGGCTCAGTGGTAGAGTGTTTGCCTAGCACATGTGAGGCACTTATCCTCAGCACCACATAAAAATAAAATAAAAGACACTGTGTCCACCTAAAACAAACAAACAAAAAATAAATATTAAAAAAAAGATAGAAGTGCAACTAAATGCTATAGATGTTATAGGAGAATATAGAGGGGTCCAGAGGGTGAGGAAGGAGACTGCACCAAGGCTTTGGGAGAATCTTAAGAGATGAGAAAGAATGTGTCTTCAGGGCTGGGCAAGAGGAATTAAGAAATTCCAAGTAAAGAAGTAGCACATGTGGCACAGTGTTTCAGAGCATGGACTTTGGAGCCAGGAGATCTGGATAAAATCCCAGGTCCTCATCTTGAAGGAATGGGAATTAGAATGTGCTGTTTTTAGAGGTCTTATTTTCTATTTCTGCAACAAGACCTAACATTATGGCTGCTGTAAAGTTTAGATAACAGCAAAAGTGCTTATTAGCACGATGCTTGTAACAGAGTATGTGATTATTAAATAATAACCATTATTACTATAAATATAATTATAACTTTAATATGTGTTTTATAAGCATTACAGGAGGATCTACTTCATAAGACCAAATGAACTAAAATAAATGTGAAAGAACTTTAAAAAAGTATAATGCAAAATTATTCAGTAATAAAAAGGAATGAAGTTCTTGTACATGCTAAAATATGAATGAGCTTTTAAGAAAACAAGTTAAGGGAAATAAACCACATACAGAAGGACAAATAGTTTATGATTCCCCTTATTTATGAGGTACTTACAGCAGGCAAATTCATAGAGACAAGAAAGAAGAATAGAGGTTCTAGGAGTTGGGGAAGGAGGCATGAGGAGTTACTATTGAATGGGCACAGAGTTTGATTGAAATGATGAAAAAGTTTTAGAAATAGACAGTGATGATGCTTGTACAACATGGTAAATGTGTTTAATGGCACTGAATTGCACACTTAACAAACAGTAGGTTTCAAGTTCAGCAGAAAAGGAAGAAACAAATTCATGTGCTATTTTCAACAAAAATACCATTAACATTCAGAGTAAGACAAACAAATCAGGACATCTTACCCACTCAGGTTTTTAAAAACTATACTTATATTTGCAGAGTTTTACTAGTATGAAAAATGTATGTTTTTAAATAGGTAAATTTTCAAAAAAGGGAATTAATTTAGGTTGGTATTTTGATCATCCTAAAATCTGGATAATGAATTTACTTCTAAATAAAGAAGTCTAATAATTGTGCCTCATTTTTGACCTGTGGTAGATTCAAGATGACTTGATTTTTTCTAGGTGTTCCCCCTGGTAAATAGTTGCATAGTAAACCTTACAGATACATATTTGTATTGAAGAATTTAAGTCTGTGGGGATATAAAAATGGATACACAAGTACCCTTACATAGAGACAAGTTTAGCATTTAGAAAACTGCATTTAAAATAAAGAACCAATAAGGACTCAGAAAGGGAAAGTTTCCCTTGGGTCTGGGAGGAACACATAGCTTACTGACCTGCGTCCCCTGACTGTTGATGTCAACAGCATCACTCCACTCAGTAGTTATTTCATCTGGCAACTCTACTCTCAAACAAAGGCTAGGAAGTAAGTCTTTGGTCTTGCAGTCTGGATAACTGGAAATCTGATGATAGAGCTCATGATGAACTGAACTCTCAGAAGGAATTTTTCTACAATAAACCTCAAATTTTGGGATGTCTGAAATAAAAAAAAAGGCATATGCAGACTTAGATATGAATGATAAAGACTTAGGGATATTAAACATAATGTTGTAAAATAAATTTCTTAAGAAGTTTGCAATACTTTTATTTAAACATTCTTTAAAGAATAAATGTACTACTAAATAAAAGAAAAATAAACCTCCTGAAAGAAAATTTTATTCTTTAAAGTCTGTTCTATAAAATATACCTTTAATGTTTTCCTTTATAAGCACTGCTACTGGGCATCTGTTGTGGAGAATGACTCGAGGACTAGGGTCTTCTGAGAGGGTTAAATAAGTCACTCCAAAGTGTTCTTGATACGTCAGTGCTATAGCCCTAAAACAGAATCAAATCAAATGACAAAGATGGTTTAGAAAAAAGTGCAAGTTTTCTCTCCTGGTCATGTTTACTTGGATTAGCAATATTCCAAACTCTAAAATGCCTTCTCTTTTATACCTTGGGGAGATTTTTCCAGAACAATGAAGCCATCCCTTCATTTAATAGCTGTCATACATGAACTGTATATTTACTGATTTTTAAAAGGTAACATATTTATTATAAGATATCCAAAAAATGTGAGAAATTATTTAAAAGATTAAAAACCCTAACTCTACCACTCAGCGAGAACTATAGCTAACTCTGTGCTTACCTTGTCCCCGGCTCTTTTGTCCTCTATGCATATGTACCTTAAACTTCTCAGACAAGGTACCGTCTTCTCCAACAATGCTCAGTGAATTCTGGTAAAGGAAGAGCTGATCTACTTTAAGGACTACTTCAGAATGTGGATGCCTGTCCATTTCCGTTCTAACAGCAGGCAAACTTACAATGTTTGTTGTCAATTTTTACAAGATGGTCAGACTTTACAGGATCTACATTTTGACCACCAGGAGCAAAGGTGTATTGATAGGAGTTAGAAAAACAGCTGCCTGAGCACAGGTTGCCCTCTGTTTTAAAGAGAGAAACTCTCCTATTGTACTACAGCCTACCAAATGATATTTTATATCAAATCAGGAAAAAGATTCTCTCTGAAGTCTGAATTACATACACTGTTAGAATTAATCACAGAAATTAGTTAATTTGCTGAATGTAGTTCTTTGTTTATGCTGATTAAAATGGGTTAATAGCACATTAAACAATTTCCTGTTTGCCATCTATTCTATTTGCCAATGTGAGTACTTCCCAAAGATTATATTAGTTTAAGATGCCAAAGTGAACTGTGCATTAGCATTTGGTGAAAGATATACCATCAAATATGTACTACAGAGTGAGGGAGGGAAAGAGATGAGGAGATGGTGAGATGAGCAGAAAGTACATTCCTTTTCAGAGTGAAGTTCTTAGATAAACAGGAAAGATCTTTTCTTAGACTAATTTTGAAAGAACTGGAAAAACCAATCTCAAGATAGTTTTCTTTTGATAGCTATGAGAGTTAGGGGCCAGGTTAAAGTATAGTCCTTTTTAACTATTTAGATTTAATATTTATATATAAGATTAATTTATACTATAATTCTTAGAATTTAAGCTTCATTTACAAATGAAGTTTTGCTTCAAATTTTGTCTTTTACTGTAAAAATAAGATTTGTTTTATAGACAGAAGGTTGCATACCTTTCAAAAATACTTCCTTAAATTCAACATGCTTAATATTATCCATAACCATATATAAATTAGAGTAACCCCTCTTTGCAGGGTTAAGGCTGAAAATATTTGTAAACTCAGGTATGTTTGTGAACATTGTGATGGAAAAAAGGATGTGGGTGTGGAATAGGGCCTTACCACTATGGACAACTCCAGTTAAGCTGTTATCTTTTAAAATATTACTATTAAATCTTTGTATATATCAAAAAAGTTAGGATGGCTGAAGTCCAAAACTCTATAAATTCATAATCATGAGCATAAGGTACCTCCCATAAGGTCACAATATGTTTTCTTTTGAGCTGTTACATATACCATAAATAAGTTATTCCTGACAGCTGTAGAAAGGATGGATTGCATGCAAAACAACCACAAAATAGAAGTCTAGTATGAAGAAAGCATTACATGTCTCTGCCTTGATTCTGTCCTGTTATTTGCATAATTGGTAATCAGTAATTGGAGCAACTTGCGTGCAGGAACAACCACAGCAGAGAGTCTTCTGTGGCTTGTGTTAATCTAAGTTCTCTCTCTAGATCAACTTTTGTGAAAAATTCTATTTAGAAGTAAAATTACAATATTAGAAAAGAAAAAGCTTTTCCAACTTGATTTTTTTTTATTTTAGCCTTAATTTCTCACCATTTTACAGAGGCTAAGAACTCCTAAAAGAGGGTAATCTTTTTCATTACAACATATTGCTACTATCCATTGTACAAATAATATCATTTCCTCCATATAAGATGCATACACCCCCTAAAACGTCTCATAAGCATTACACTGGGACAACCCATTATATGATCACAACATTTGAGCAACATATATGATGTCTAGAAGTCATTAAAGATAAAATTTAGTCTTATATATATGGAGCATTGCACCTATTCTCTTAGCATCTCCAGGAACAGTGACACTGACAGGCAAAGAAGGGCATTCACATATATGTAAAATACCTGGTACAGAATCCATTTTCCCTAGAATTCCCAAGGGGCACTGCCACACTCTGTCGGGGAAACTCTTGTTTAACTAGAGCTGGCAGGCTCCAACACTGTGAGCTGTCGGCACCTGTGGCAGGAGAAAAGCCCAGCAAAATCTGTTTCTGAAGCAAGGATGTGTCCAACACTGATGGCCCAACGTCAGGCATTAAATCCCAGCAAGGAAGGGAGCTGGATTTTATAGCCGGCTGCTCTCCACCTTGGCAAATGCTGAAAGTAGCACTGTCCGGAACGTGAAAATACTGGAAAAAGACAATACAGAGAGGGCACACTTACTACAACAATGCAGCCATGTTAAGTTTTAAAAGCATAGCTTCTAAGAAACCATAACCGTGTATTCAAGTTGGCAATGTGGGAATATCAGCACAAGAAAGCCCTAATGAAACAGTGAAAGCAGTGGAAGCAGGGTTTGCTTTGCTGCACATGATAGAGTTGGGGTGATTTAAAAAGATGATGCATAGTTCTTTCTCCCAGGTATTGCAAAAATCCCCATGATACTGGCGTAGAAATGTCATGTGCTAGGGAGGGAGTCCCCTTGGACAGATAGGTATGGCTACACTGAAATGGTGTGGTGTGGTGGCAGATATTAGGAAAACAGATCTGAATAACATTCAGAACAGGAAACTGGGAGTTCAGAAGACAAATTTTATGTAGTACTCATCCTGAGGGAGGAGCAAACTCTGAATTTTACACTGTTTCTGGCATTAGAGTTGCTGAATTTTAGACTTAAAAAGGACCTCAAGGGATAATAATATATTTCAATAATATATAATAAATAATATAATAAATAATATATTTGAATTTCCTATTTCACAGCTGAGGAAGCTGTTTGTTTTTGTTTTGTTTTGTTTTGGTAATGGGGATTGAATCCAGGGATGCTTAACCAAATCCCCAGCCATTTTATTTTGAGATGGGGTCTTGCTAAGTTGCTTAGGGCCTTGTTAAATTGCTGAGATTGGCTTTGAATTTACAATTCTTCTGCTTGAGCCTCCTCAGCCACTGGGATTACAAGTGTAAGCCACTGTATCCAGTAGGAAGCTGCTTTTGATTGAGCTGATGACTTATCTGTCCAATAGCACAAAGCCAGGAAGTGACACAGCCCTGCCAGAAGCCAAGTTTCCTGCTTCCAGTCTGGGTTTTCCCACTGTTCCACACTCTCTAAGAGACCAGGGATTACCATGCCTCTTGAAAAATCCTAGAGCTGTCTGAAGCAGAGTCATTGTTGGAAAAGAGGACACTTCGCAGCTATAGGGGCAAATTGAGTCTTTCTCTTCTTCTAGGAAGCCAAGGCAAATGGGGAGTCCTGGGTGATGTTGATGCTGCAGATGCTGCTGGCTACAGTCATTTACTGAGCACCTATCCCTTTTCTTTACATTAATTTATTTAATCCTCATAAAATCTACAAGGAATGCAAAATGATGCCCATTTTAAAGTTGAGGAAATGCAGGCTGGGGCTGTGGTTCAGTGGTAGAGCACTTGTCTAGCATGTGTGAGGCACTGGGTTCAATCCTCAGCACCACATAAAAATAAATAAAATAAAAGCATTGTGTCCATCTACAACTAAAAGTATTTTTAAAAAAAAATGAGGAAATGTCATCTGGCCCAAAGTCTTGGGAAGCCCTAGAGTGAGAAGTAGGACAATTACCTAGATGAAGACTAATTCTCTTGTCAAAGCAAATGTTGTTGACCTCTATTCTTTTTTCTTAATATTTATTTTTTTAGTTGTAGTTGGACACAATACCTTTATTTTATTCATTTATTTTTATGTGGTGCTGAGGATTGAACCTACGGTCCTGCATGTGCCAGGCGAGCGCTCTACCACTGAGCCACAACCCCAGCCCCTTGACCTCTCTTCTTAACTGGACAATAACTGGGTACTTCTGGCCACCTATTTATTTTTATTAATGAACTAGGATGAAACTCTATTGTTCCACTTTTTGTAAATACCACAATACACTGTCAACTAAAAAAAAAGTGTAATATTTTATCCTAATCGATCCTTCTAATACAATTTTTAGGAATAGAAAGTAAGGGGTAATAATAACTGCAAACAAAGGTAAAGAAAGATAATGCTTTTTTATATGATAGTTTCATTAACATAAAATAGCTGCATACTACTTGGTGTACTCTAAGTTTTTTTTTTTTTTTTTTAAATCTCTCCTTACTTTCTTTTTCATTGAACAAAGAGCCAAGTCAAAAACTCTTCTCAACATTCCCAGATGTATTTTCTATGTGTTTTGCCATTGAGATGTTAACATTAACAAGCTGGTACATTTTCACATTCACTTTCTGTGTGAACACAAAGCTCACTGCCCCAGATCTGTGGCTCAGTTAGGTCCTTGCCCTCCGTCCACACCAGCAACTCAAACCAGTTCCTCAGCTGCTGCAGCCTGTGGGGCAGATGTGTTTTTATTCTTTAAAAAAATTTTTTTTTATGCAACTCAGAGCCGGTCCTCAGGCCCACTGCTTTACTAGTGGGGGTTCATTGAACCTGTGAGAGGACCATGCTGGAGCCTCTGAGCAGATGGAGTGCAGGCAGAACTAATCCAGCAGTGTCAAGATCTGTTGTTTTGTTGGATTTCTGCTCATTAATTACACAGCATCCATGGCTTTAATTATAGCAAAATAAGTGGATTTCTCTTTACCTATATTCAGTGCTAGCCTTCTTTGCCCTAGGCTATAAAAAGTTGATCCTATTTGTTGTTAATTCATCAAAACATAGACAAAACCATTATGTTATGAATTGCTTACCTCTTTTCCAGAATGGGGTTTGGAGACAGATAACTGTGGTTTATAAAATATCTGATATGGTGTGTTATTGATTACTGTAGTCTTGTCTTCAATCTGAATAATCTGTATACCTTGCTGTACCATAGAAGAAATGCAGAACTGACACAACTGTAAGATAATCCAGGAAAGGGCAATTAATTATAAGGCATATGATTATTCTTTAAAGGTTATTTATCTATTGCTTTGCCCACGATTGTACCAGTTTACCTTTTTCCAGAGTACTTAATAGCATCCCTTTTAGTCTCCAAAATGCCCTGGCCAATACAAGGCCAGCGTTGACAGCAAAGACTTTAGCAAGCCAGTTACTTGTGCTACTGTTGTACGGTGGGTGTAGACAAGAGATTTGTTTTCAGATTATTTCACAGATTACCTCATACAATATTTATAAAACACTTATACATAAACAAATTCCTACTCATCTTACTCAATAGGATTCAATTCAGCAACCCTTCTCACAAGTACCACAGCAGTGACCTCACAGAGTGCCTTTAAAAGTGACAATGAAGTGACTTTAAAAGTGACAATGAAGACGAAGGAAACAATACGACTGACCTTCATGTATTGCTATATCATGCACCCCACCTGTTTTAAGTAAGTTATGAATATTAATTCACAAATTCTTATGTATAGTAACTATATAGGGTGATTTCTATTATCCCCATTTTACAGAAGACGAAAGTGAGATGCAGAGGTTCAGCATTTGGCAAGGTCTGGCTGGGCTGGAACCTACATGGTCTGGCTCTGCAGTGCTGCTCCTCACCAATATGTGCATTGTCTCCTTGCACTCCTGCATCCCATGTGGAACTGATGCTTGGAGGGATACCTGCCTAAGAGTAGCTGTCCAGTAAGTGGCAATCTCAGAGCAGCAGTCCTCAGAGGGTGGCTCATATGGAAGATCTCCAGAAAGGGGTATTAAGTTCAAAACTAATTTATAATAATATTGACATTATATTTTTCTTTTCACTTTACTTTCCTCATGAGCATAAGGTAGAATTTCCCTGAGGCTATTATGATATACCATGTCACAACTCTGATGGCTAATGGAATATGTTTAAATTCTTGTGTTTAAAAAATTTCTCTTAATTTACAATCTGGTAAAATCTGATAGAACCCATAAAAACAAAAGGTCTTTGCGGGGGTCCCCAACAATCTTTAAGCATATAAAGGAATCCTGAGACTGAAATGTTTGAGAGTTATTACTAAGAATAATTGAACATCACTATATATTCCAATAGTTAGTTCATTCATTCATTCATTTGCAAGTATTTATTTAGCACTTGCTGTGGCTACTTTGTGAGGTGCTAGAGGTATTGGGTGTTTGCCTATATTGTGTAACATTTTTTTCCAGGTTTTGATGGCAGTTCTCAACTTACAACTATTCAACTTTGGGTGATTCATGCTTACAGCTCTTTGCCATTTACACCCATGTTACAGCACTTTGGCAGGCAGGCAGAACATAAACATATGTTGCCCAGACAACCTTGAGGAAATGGATACCAGCCTTGAACACTGAAGAAAGACCAATTTCTTGTTTTAGGGAAATTTGTTTTTTAAAAAATGACCAAATAACCCTAATTTTTCTTAAAAGACTCTTCAAAGATGCTCAAAACAACTTCTTCCCAAAGAAAGGTCATCCTGAATTCTACTATTCTGATAAAGTACCCCTTCTCATTTGGGATAGCTAAAATAATGAAGATAATTTTAAGAACAGCAAGAGACTTACACATGTCACACTAGATATTATTCCTTCATACATACAATTTAATGTGATTAGTTGCTATATTATTCATCTAATTAGTTTTCATAGACTTTAGATTTATGCTGAAAAGCACACACCATTTGTATTTATCTAAATAACTACTTAAATATTTTTGTGTGTGTGTGTGTGTGTGTGTGTGTGTGTGTGTGTATGTACATTCTCTAAAAACATGGGCACTAGTCAACTGTTGAAGAACTGTTGAAGTCCGTCAGTTGAAAACTGTTATAGGAATTCCCTCTTAAAACATTGGTTCTATGGGGAAAACAGAATTGGTTCACATCATTTTGCTCAGGATGCCCTTTGCAGGAATATAACTTCTGCTGTAGGAAGCTTAGTTCTTTCACTCAATGCTTAGAATGTTAGCAACTTTACTTCCTGGTCTAAAAAAGGAGGCCAAGTACAATTTGTAGATATTTTGGAATAAGTTCATTCCCCTTCACATACTATATATAAATCAAGTGACTGATGAGTGTTCTGAAATAGAGCAGTTATTGAATAAATTATGTGACACAACTTTTATCATTGGTAAAGGAAAAATATATTGTAAAACAGAAGTCTAAGAAATTAAGAAATAAAGTATTTTACTGCTATGTATTATTTAGAATATGTGATACCAAAAAGGGGTTAAAAAGAAAAGGTAGGTTTATATTAAATAGCTTAAGGGGATGTCACATTTGATTTGAGCCAAATCAACTCTGACCTTACCTTCTGATGTCCTGGGAAAGCACCAAGTCTTATTTCAGCATCAATAAACCCTTCTTCGTCCAATGTCACGACTTCACCATTACCTCCATCTTTCCACTTTGGAGATGTCAGGTTATGGACTAGTTTAATTGCTACTGACTTGTGCACAGTGTTTGTATTTGCCCAATATATTCCAATCTGAAAAGCTTCCTGGAAAAATAATGCCTTAATTATAAAGTAATTTTTCTTAACTTTGGTATGTTTTTAAATCTCAATCCCCAGGATCTTTTCTCATATGATATAATAGGTCCATTAAAGCAACCAAATATCATTCCACTCGTTTTATAATGGCAACATACATTTTATCTTTGTTCCTAATGTTAATTTTGATTCACAATGAAATTCATATTTATGGACAGGAGGAAAAAAACAAACTTGAGATGTGACTACCCTATAAATACCAAGTCTTAAAGACTGAAGGTTTCATCTCACTTGACAAGAGAATAACATGTAATAATGAGTCCATACAGGTCAACATTCCAATTCTATAAGGTAACAGTATTTGATTACTAAAAAAATGAAAAATGCAATTGAATAAAGATGTTTATGGACTGGAATGAAAAAAAAAGAAAAGAAAAAGAAAAAGGACTCTGAAATTGTTCTCTATTAGGAAAATGTTTTATTTAAGAGTTACTTTATTTTCTCAGATTTATGTCTACTTGAAATTATCTATCCTTATAAAGTTAGTTTATAAATTAGAATACAAAATCTTCTGAAATTTTTATCTTGTGATTAGGTTTTTCTCCCTGTGTCACTAATAATTCCATGTTGTTTTAATTAATAACTGGATAATCCTTCATAATTATGGACATACAATTATGGACATATAAAGGAAAAGGAGCCTGACAAAAATGTAGCTCAGAAATCCTCCATACCTCACAGAATTCACAGAATTTAAGAACTGCAAAGATTATCAAGGGGATGGGTTAGCATATAGTACAACTCTGTATCCTTAACACACTGAGAGATCAATCTTAATACTTGTCAAATATCCCACACACAATAGAAATGAGTATGTAATTAGTACAAGTTATCCAAATTTAATGATAACTCAACCATGAATATGCTGATGGGGGGGGGAAAGACATCTGAAAAATCTTTGAATATCAAAGAACATTCCAGACTCCTTATGTATATATCTGTGAGGACAGTTTTCCACAATGGATTCATTCTGTTAAATCATAAATGCAACCTCAGAATAAAATCTAGTTGTTCAGAGAGAAGAATTATGTTAGTTTCAAAACTTATAGTACCTGAAAATTAGGAGGAATAATAGTTTTGCTAGCAGGAACCTGTAGAACAATCTTCTCTCCTTCAAACAGCCAGAGGTCCCACTTGGACTGATTGATAAGCAGGGCCCAGGGCAGAAGTTCTATCAGCAAAGTTCTAACATATGGCTTCCAGATCGACAGCTTCACTCGCATTGGGCTATCCCACTGACTCAGCTGTTCATTCCTGTTCCAAATACCACAACCAAGAGACTCAATGAAATATGATGACTTCAGTATTCATGAAATACGTTTAAGGATTCCAGACACACAATGCTCCTATAGGGTACCTCTTCACATCAGTCATTCAATGCTGAATTTGCAAGCAGGAAAAGCAACTTTTCATGCAATTATGTTGTACATTATGAGTAAAAAAATATATATCTATAAATGTACTTACTAGATGACAAAAGATCAGAATCTCACCAATACACGCAAATACCTTTTTCATACTATTTATGAGATCTTAATATTTTTGTGAACAGTCATTTCTTAATATATAAGTGTGTATAGAAAAAGATAGCTGAAGCCTATTACCTGTCAGAATCCTTCTTAATATAGGGCCATGTGGGTTCGAGAGATTTTTCTGGCCCATAGAATTCATCAAGGATCTGATTAACTGTACCTCCAGGGTGTATCTTAGTGGCTATTTGTTTAATTAGGGCTGTTGAGATGGGGACAGCACAATCTGAAGGGTCATATTCTTCTCTAGAAAATGGAAAAAAAAAGTGTTAGATTTCTAAGTGGTCTACAATTTATTAAAAAAAACCCTAAAAATGTACTATGAATCCTACTTTTAAGTGAGATTGAGTTCATTTTCAGTGATTTAGGAAAGTATGATAGTTTTTGGATGATTTGGGCCTTGGCCTTTCCTTCTCACTTGACCCTGCTTGGGTGAGATCTCAAGTCATGCCTTCTTCCACTACAGAAATCATGTGTCAGTTAAATTTAAACTAAATTATATTTTCTGATGACCTCTCCTGATTGGCTCTTTCTTTCTCTTGTTTTGAGTAGTAACATTTTTATTCTAAAGGAATAATACACATAGAATAATACACTGAGAATGGGAGAGTGGGCAATCATATGGAAGGAAAAAAAGAGGGCAGAGAAGAGGGTGAGAAGAGGGAGAGAGTGGAAGAGAGGACGAAAGGGGGAGAAGGGCAGGGGAGACACCCAAAAAACAAAACTCTTATTTCTAATCTTGATGAGAAAGGATGAATTTTATCTAAAACTATAGAGGAGAATAAGAGAATACTAGGCAAGGTAATTTAAAATAACATTCTCCTAAGATAAAAATGCCATTCATGCTCCTCCAGCCCCCAACAGTACAAGGTTAATTTTCTACTGAATTTCTCTTAGGAATATAAAAAAATGTATTTTGCTAATACCTTGCTTGAAATGTTAGGTGATGTACAAGATCAGGTTCTATGTTTTGCAGTGGTTTTTCCTGCCCTCTTCCTGGAATAATCTGTGTTTCATTCAATCCCAGACTCCTTTTCTCCAAATGTATGATAATGGGGTCTGGAAGATGACTTCTCATGATAAAAAGAGGGCTGAACACAATCTATAAAAATAAAAGGACAGAACAACTTTCATATTTGCTTTGTTGCAGTATTCCAGCTGTTTGATGCTGAAACAAACTTGTAATAAATCTCTTCCCTGGGTCACTGTGACCTTAATTTATTTCAGAACAGGAAAGGTCAGAGTCATATACCATATTTTAGGATTGGGAAAGCACTCACCATTCGTTGTTGCACTTGAGAGTTGGGTTCTAAAGTCAAAACTGTACACCAGACATAAATAATGGAACTGTTTGAAGATGGCACCTGCACATGAGATAGCAGAGGATTCTATTAAATATTTAACTGCTTATTCATTAATCAAAATAAGACACAGATATAATATCAGTTTGGATGATAAAAAATAATTTCAAGTTAGATAAAAAGCCACCAAAAACAAAAACAACTATGCAAAAACAGGCTTCATCATGGCATAAAGCAAATGCACAGTGGATCGATGGGGCCAAGTCTTTCCATAAAGAACATTTCAATTTTAAAGCTGCTTTATTTTAGATTCTTATCCCTGGATCTCATATTCTCTCTCTCATACCTGGATGACAATGCTATACTCAGAGGCTTTGGATTCTAGGCACACGTCTCTTGACCAGTCTTCATCTCCTTTGGCCTTCACACACAATTCTGTCAGTTCACTGTTTTCTAATATGTACGAAGGCAATTTTTGTTTGGCTGTGAGGCAGTCAAAATGTTCTCGGACTACAGCTTGTCCATCTTGTCCAATATAATGCTGAACGACTTTTAGTTCTATGCTTTGAGACAAATAACTACAGATGATCTGTCTTCCACAGATGATAATCTAAAAAACAATTTAAAAATATAGAAGGCTTCATGAATTCAGATTTCATTACATGTAATCATTTACATGGATATGTTGATGTTAATGAAAAACAAATGAAATAATTAGTTTAATATAAGAAAGAAAAGAGACTTAAAGGAAAGAATTTTGTTCTGTCATGTTGAGCTGTCAATACTTAAAGGAGAGACTCATAGATAGGGTCCAGTGCCCACCCAGAAATACTGACCAGAGAGAAGATGAAACCAGAGACAAATATTTGTGAAAGAAAAGCTGTGCAAATATGCATTGACAGAGGATAGTTCACATGAAGGAGAGGGTGCAAGCTCAACTCCAGAAATTGATATTGTAGGGACAGACTCAGGGTGAGAAGTCAGAGAAGGGGCCAGATGAAAAGGGGTGAGGAAGGGTAGAGGTGAATCAGGAGAAAGTAGGTTTGCTGAAGCCATGATATAATATTAGTTTGGATGATAAAAAAATAATTTCAAGTTACATTAGAAGGTGGTGATTAATCTCATCAAATAATGTATAAGTTGAAAAAAATGGGAGTTGAAAGTAAGCATTAGCTCTGGTAACTGAATGGAAAATTGTGGTCTATCTATTCTTTGAAGCTGATTTCTTACAGTTTATTATACTCTTATCCAAGAAGAGATATCTGAATACATTACTACAAATGATCTTTGACTGAGATACCCCATTATATTTTACTTTATTTAGTTTTTTCTACATTGTAGAAGTATGTAACTTTATAAAACACATAGAATTACCCATTAAATTCTCAGACCTAATTTTTTATCTGGACAAGAGTATATTCATAATGGATATTAAGAAATGTTTCTTAAATTGGTTAAAATTGAAAAGATTGGAAAATTTACTCTTATGTTTTAATTTTAATTTAATTTTAGAAAGCAAATACTTCTGTAATAAGTATTCATCATGGTTATACAAACAGAACTAGTTCACAAACTACATTTCATATTTTTAATATTTTTATAGATTATAAAATAATAACTAATACATATAGTAAACTAAAAGGTCTAAGCATGTTATAATTAACTTTAATGTGTCAACTGGGCTATATTTTTATTTTTTTAAATATTTTTAAGTTGTAGATGGACCTTTATTTATTTTTATGTGGTGGTAAGGATGGAACCCAGTGCCTCACACAACTGGGTTATATATTTAATCAAACATTATTCTCAGTGTGTCTGTGGGGATGTTTGTAGATGACATTTACCTTTGAATTGGTAAACTGAATAAAACAGATTGCCCTCCCAATGTGAGAACATCACCCAGTCAACTGAAGACCTAACAAACAAAAAATGCTTATAGAGAAGGAACTCATTCTTTCGTACTACTTGAGTCGGGACACTGGTCTTTTTTGGCCTTTGACCTTGAACTGTCACATTGGCTTTTCTTGGGTCTTGAAATTGCTAGCTTTTGGACTAGCACTTTTGTCACTGGCTCTGCTGGTTCTCAGGCTTTCAGACTTAGACTGGAAAATGACCTATCAGCTCTCCAGCGTACTGACTGCAGATCTTTTGACTTTTCTATCTCTGTAATCATGTGGGCCACGAGATAATTAATCATTCCCCCCCACACTGCACATGCTATATTGGTTCTGTTTTTCTGGAGAACCTTAAATAGAAAGCATTTATTCTATTCTCACAGCAACCTTATAAAGTAGGTGCTATTATGTCTCTTCATCTTAACAAGTAGAAAAACCACAGGCACAGAGATGTTGAATAACTTGCAAGTTGGTACCCAGAAAATCTGGCCTAGAATCTGTGTTGAAGATCACTCTGATAGTCTGTCACTCATAAAATTAATACCTATTCATAAGAAAATTTAGATTCCCAAGGAAAGAGGGTAAAGGCTGATCACCATAACACAAATGTGGCAGATGTTATTGGTTCCCTTTCCATAGCTGGTCCTTCTCTACTCCTGCTGTTAAAAACTGATTTGGTCTAGGTATCAAAAGATAGTCAAGCACTCAGGGGAGGTGGATATCTCCCTTGAACTTTGGAGGCTGTACTGAAATGGGTAAAAACTAATCCTGGTAAATCCATTCTCTCTTAACCAATGATTACCTTAGTGGTAAATGTGTTTTGGCTAGTAATATGAAAAGGAAAGATGGCAAAGGCTTGGAGAAGATTTTACTCTTTGAAAGAAGGGAGACAATTTGAGAAGAGAAAGTCCTTCTTTTCTGTTATGGAAGATATTATAAGAGGATGTACATCTTGAGATCAGAAAGGCACATCAGAGGATGGCAGAGAAGCAGATACAGTACTGAGGTGCTGAGGTCACCAATACCAAACCCGTCTTCTTCCTTCTTATGATGTGAAACAAAATGTACAAAATAGGAATAATAATAATAGGATCTACCTCATTAACTTGCTATGAAGATTAAAAAGCATATATCTGTTCAAATTTTATGAGTTTATTACATCTTTTCTAAAATAAAACATTTGGAAAACAAATATATTGCAAATAACTTGTATTCAGAATACACAAAGAACTCTTAAAATTCAATAATAAGTAACCACCTAGCCTTTTTTTCTAAGTGGAAAAAAAATCTGAGCCTTTTCACTAAAAAAGAAAAACAGGTAACAAATAATCATATAAAAATGTTCAACATTATTTGCTATCAGAGAATTGCAACTCAACACAAGATAAAATTTTGTCTGTACATACTTTTAGAATGACTGCAATCCAAAAAGATGCAGAGCAACAGAAACTCTTTGTAAAAAATATTTTTTAAAATTGTTTCTTTTTAGAAATACATGACAGTAGGGTATATTTTGACATATTATACATACATGGATTATAACTTCCTATTCTTGTGGTTGTACATGATGTGGAGTTACACGGCTGGTATATTCATAGGAAAGTTATGCCATATTCATTCTACTGTCTTTCCTGTTCCTATCTCCCCTCCCTTCCCTGCATTCCTCTTGTCTAGTTCACTGAACTTCTATTCTTCCCCTCCGGCCTTTGTTGTATGTTAGCATCCACATATCAGAGAAAACAGTCAAACTTTGTGTTTGGGGAACTGGCTTATTTCTCTTAGAATGACAGACTATAGAGCCATCCATTTACCAGCAAATGTCATAAAGTCATTCATTTCTATGGCTGAGTAACACTCCATTGTGTATACATACATTTTCTTTATCTATTCAACTTGAAGGGCACCTAGGCTGATTCCATAGCTTAGCAATTGTGAATTGAGCTGCTATAAACATTGATATGACTGCATCACTGTAGTATGCTGATTTAAAGTTCTTTGGGTATATACCAAGGAATGGGATAACTGGGTCAAATAGTGATTCCATTCCAAGTTTTCTGAGGACTCTCCATACTGCTTTTCAGAGTAGTTGCATCAATTTGCAGTCCTATCAGCAATGTATGAGTGTACCTTTTCCCCGACATACTCCCCAGCATTTATTGTTACTTATTTTTTGACAATTGCCATTCTGACTGGAGTGAGATGAAATCTCAGAGTAGTTTAAATTTGCATTTCTCTAATTTCTAGAGATGTTAAATATTTTTTCATATACGTGTTGATTATTCATATTTCTTCTTCTGTAAAGTGTCTATTCAGTTCCTTTGCCCATTTATTGACTGGGTTATTGGAAAAAGCATATTTTATAAACATAATTAGTTGATATTTTTCCCATGTCATCAAGAGTTCTGTGACCATCATTTTAAATAAGCTATTGTTTACACAAATATGATTATTTTTGAAGGAACTATTATTTATCCAAAGGAAACCTACTAGATTGATAGATCAAAAATGAAATGTCATTTTTGTTCTACCTTGTGCCATTTAAATACTGGTATTCAGTATTTTCTTCAATACTTATTTTCTAACTATCCATTCATTTGCATTTTCTTTAGGAGCACATGTTTACAACCAAGCTACATTTTACTGTTATACTTCCCATAGACATGAGAGCCATTATATCTTTTAAAACTATGTTTTCAAAATAATAAACTAAAAGTCTATGAGCCCTAAATTAGCAGGCAAGCTTTTCTTTAGCATATGCTAGGGATTACTAGACACTCATGAAAAAGTCTTGTGATGCCATAACAACACCTAACTTTAAGTAAGCATTTGAAAACTTGGAGGCATTATTTAACTCTGTTTTTATTCTTGATATGCTAATCCTGGCAACATGTGTGCACCACTCTTGCCTTACAACCTTTGAACCCCAGGAGATTTAGAAGAGAATTTTGCTGTCTCTCACAGAAACCACGGAATATCTGCAAGCATCTGGGACTCACTTTGTTTAAAGACAAAGATCCTCTTGGTGGGTTTTTATAGTTTCATTTTCAACTAAAAAGCCTGTTAAATAGGCTTTCAGATTTGATATAAAGAATATCTTTACAAGTGGCCAGGGAGGGAAGACTACTGGGATAAAGAACAATCCAAAATGGCCACTCCTCTGAGTGGTGCTCTTTCATGGTTGTGGGTTCAGGAGAGCTCTGTCTGCTCTTCTTCAAAGTGGCCAACTTATAATGCCTTTATTTTGAAAATTATGGTTAGAATTTCAAGATTAATTTATCAGTTGAAGACAGCTACTTACTTTTTTTTTAATGTAGGGTTTCTCTTTAATACACATTTCCAGCTTTCACACTAATTCCCCTGTTTTAACCAAAGCCACAAAGATGAGCATTGAAGATTTCCACATATGATTTTACTTAGCAGGTTTCAGAACTCTTATTAGATCAGTGCCAAGAATAGTGATATTAAAGAATAACTCCAGAGTACCAGATGCACTGGAAAATGATATCTTACCCATGATTAAAAGTATGTGTATAAAGATGCAAATATACATACATTTGGGCTTTTAGAGTGGTGAAGGTTTATTCAATGAAGGCCTGGGAAACACAGAAGCAATGTGTACATGAGTAGTCATATAATGTATAAAGGTCCTGGGAAATTTTATATGTGGTCAATTTTGATTCAGTTGTGGGAAATGAGAGGACTATAGGAAAGGCAGAGTACAGATAACAAAACATCAATGTTAAGAAGAGCTTTAGCCAACTCTCCATTATCCAGGGGCATATTAATGTGGTTAAGGTACATGCACTCACCTCACTAAATGAGTCTTGGTAATTAGGCAGCTGCAGTTTATTGTAAATTTCCAGGCCCAGGTGGAACAGAAGGAAAGAAGCCAAGATGTGAGGGAGGCAAATATCCACGGAGCTCTTCTGAAGCTTGATTCCTTCCTTCCTCCCTCATCTCTCCGTCTGAGGAAATCCTATGTCTCTCATGTACTTTAACTAGACCTAATCTGGATGCTAAACTACCCTGACAATAAAAATTAAATCCAATTGGAAAAGACATTTAAAATTTTTGCTTGTGTGTGTGTGAATGAGAAGGAAGAAGGAGAAGGAGAGAGGTAAAATTTTGTGAGAAGTTTTTAGAAATGTGTTTTTTAATTGACCAACTACTTTGACATTTGATGTACTGTTGCATTGTGTAATATCTGTGTAGAAACATCATATTAATTTATCCCTGAAACTTAATATGATTCCTTGAAAATACAGATCTATGCAAGAATGAAGTGCTACTGTAGGTTAACACCAAAAAGTCCAACTAGAGTTACTCAGGCCTGAGAATATATTTCATTATAATAATTTTAATTGAAGTTAACTAGACTATGAGTGAGTTGGGCACATTGTAAGTACTCTGTATACATAAACTCATTTAATGCTCACACTAACTTCCTAAGGAAGCCACAATTACTATCCTTATTTTATAGATAAAGAAACTGCTTCAAAAAAGGTGAAATGATTTCCTTAATATCACACAGTCAGCAAGGGGATACAGATGGGTTACCTAGGATCTTAATTGCTAGGATATAACATTAAAACCATTTATTGGCACCATTTCACTAATTAGTAAATGTTCTAGCAATCACATGGAGAAGAACTGAAGAAACTGTGGTCCCTGGATCAGCAGAATCCGCCATCACTGGGAACATGTTAGAAATACAGATGATCAGGCCACTCCTAAGATCTACTGGATCTGAAACTCTGGGGGAGGGATCCAGCAATCTGTGTTTTTTTTTTTTTTTAATTTTTATTGGTTGTTCAAAACATTACAAAAAAGCTTTTGACATATCATATTTCACACATTAGATTCAAGAGGATTATGAACTCCCATTTTTAACCCAAATACAGATTGCAGAATCACATTAGATCTGTGTTTTGATAAATCCTCCAGGGATTCTTATGCGCAGCTGAGAGAGAGAGAAGCCTGGGCCTAGAGACAAAGAAAACATGCTAGCCCCCTTCACAGTTTGAAAGACCTGAATATAGAGGAAAGGTGAGTTATCCTTATTACAAGGTGTTGTGTCTTGGCTGTATACACCTCACAGTTCTGAACAATGCTAAAAGCTTGTGGAATGGTGAAAGGTTTTGGTAAAATTTGGGAAGAACTTTCTAACAGTTGGTAGAAATCAACAAAGGGCTGTGGATGAGGAGATGGACTCTCTTCTGAATTCTTCAAACAGAGGCTAAGTGATCATTTCTCAGACATGCTAGTGATGCTGGTAAATGAGAAGGTAGATGAGGCATTTCCAAAAGAGCACGAGTGGCAGAATCTGAACCCCAGTTGTATTTGTTGAGCAGGTCTTTACTGAGTGAACACCAAGTAAGAGGACTCTAGGACTGATGGCAGTCAGGGGCACTTCCAGCTCTTTCAACTAGCTCAAAGCTCACACTAGTAGCTTGGTCTCCCATGAATCCTTCAACAAGATCCATAAGATTCATTTATCCCATCTTTGTGTCATTTTTTTATGATATATCATCTGCTTGGGATGTTCTTTCTTAATCTAAATTCTAATATTTCCCAAGTTCTAGCTTAAGTTATATCTTCTTAGAAAACCTCTGCTTACTCTCAATTCTATACATGGCTAGATTTACATACATTTGCAATTTTAGAGCAAAGATTGTGTCACATACTTGGTGTCTTCCACTTTACTCTGTTTCACATCTTAAGAACAGTAGGTGACCAATACATACTTTGAGGAATGATATCTAATCGAGAAGAGTCTTCCACACTTCTTCTCTGGACTCCTCTGCTATAGTTCTCTTTTCATTTCTGTTGCTCATACTAATGGGAATATGAAGCCCTCTCTCTGATTAGGTGCAGACCAAGAATAAACATGGTTCGGGGCCTACTATTCCTCTCTCGCCAGTTGCTTCCTGCTTGTTTTTGGCACAGGGCAGCAGCAGAACTCCTGCTGCTTGATAAGAGGAGCTCCCCTTTCCAGGGCCCGACAGGGCCCGGTACTGTTTCTATCATGTCCTAGTTCACATACGCTCTGGCTTGACTGCTAGAATCCAGATGCAGATGTATATGTGAAAACTCTTATGACAAATCCAGTTATTATGTGTGTGGTGAAGCCAGTTTTCAGATTTTAATACTTCCTTTTTTTTCCTTTCTACTCTTGTCATATGCTCCAAGCTTGAAAAACATCTTTTAGAAACCACATTTTCACATCTTAAGAACACAAAAAAAGTGTCAGATACTTTTTTCCCTTCACAGTCTTAGAACTTCAAAAACAGCCAAAAGGAAGTTTTATAAAATACGTTAAAATATGTGCTGAGAGCTGAGGTTTTATATGCCAAGAGTTAGGCTGCAGTGAATTTTTACTGCAGTTAATATTAACTTCTCCAAGAGAAAAGCTTGCTGGAGACCCAGGCTTACTCTGTCACGGGACAATATCACAACACTTTCACACAGCTTCTTCTCACATGCTGCAGAACCAACTCCTGGTTATCCACTGGTGGATTATCTAGGGTCCCCACCACCCCTTGCTTCACTTCCATTTCAGTAAAGGCCTTTGGCTATTTCACAGCTCATTAGCACCTTCACCAGAAGGTAGGTGGTGACAGGGAGAAGAGGTGAAACTAAAATCAGTAAATTTTACTGCTCGTTAGCAGCTCTTGTAAAAGATGTGGGATAAGGGGTTTGATACCATCATCATCATCATCATCATGCTCATCAACGAGCATTTATTAGGTGCCCATATGCACGGTTGTAGTAGGCCTAACCACTGTGATATTTTCATTATAAATTATTTACATTTATTTTAAGTTTCATCTCTACTACATCAAATATACGAGATGTCTAGGACATGAATACAAAGAACTTACCTGTTTTTGCACTCCATTGAGTTGCTGAACCTTGATTATGAGTGATGCAGTTCGACCCTTGTACTGAATTGTTCTAATAAACGTCCCAGCGTGGTCCACACTGAAGGGTTCTGACCAACGCCAATTGCCCCAACCTTCAATACAGATGTGCAACAGCTGGAGAGAAAAGCAATAATCATCACAATGCCAAATGTGCCAACAAAAATCTAGTCCTAAAATGAATGTCTCATTGCTGGAAACCCTTTCTATTTCTAATATCTAGCATCTGTTTTCTTTCTAACCTGCATTATTCATCCATTTCCAGCTTATTCCACCAGGCTAAGAATAGAAAATATGCCACATAGAGTCAATGTAGTTTTCCAGATCACATTTTAAACCTTCTTAAAAATAATGGTCCTATCACATGGTAAAAGGCCTGTTGAATATCTGAGAAAAGACCCATTTCATTCATTTTGGAGGACAAGAAGGTTTAAATATGAGATCAAAGAGCCTTGTCTTAACTGATAGTTTGTTTTTGTTTTTTTGGTTTTTTTTTGGTACTGGGCATTGAACCCAGGGACACTTTGCTATAGAGCTACATCCCAAGTCCTTTATATTTGTTATTATTTTTTATTTTGAGACAGGGTCTCACTACGTTGTTTGGTTGGCCTTGAACTTGAACTCAGACTCCCATGTCACTGGGATTATAGGTTGGGTATTTACCACTATTGTCCAGCAGTTTATTCCTTCTTATAGTTAGGTAGTAATAAAAGCTAAGTTTGGTTTGTGGCATTTTATTATTATTATTATTATTATTATTATTATTATTTAGGCACTTGAGGGTAAACTTATTTTTTTCCTCTAATCTCACAGAAGAGTATGGGTTTCGTACACAAAGGATATATCAGGGTCAGGGTGTTAACAGTGGGTAGAGGCCACAGGGACATTCAAGCCAATAGGAAGTCTTTTCCTCAGCAAGTCTGCCAAGGCCTGCCAGATCTTTCTATGCCAAGTTTGGAGGAGATCACAAGCCTTTCAAGGCTGTCATTTCTCTGATCAGATAACTTTGACGTCTTGGAATGTCATTTCTTATGGTCCTGCTATCTGTCTTCTGGAAACATCCCCTTTCTGCTGTGACATGGAATATGCCTGTAGTAATCTGAGATGGGTATATAATAGGGGATACCCAAGGAGATAGGATGTTGAAATGGAATGGTAAGATGTTTGTGGAGACTCTGGTTGGTCCCAGTTCTTCTGCTGTGTCTGCTGCTACTGAAGGGGCACAGAACCAGAGGAGCCAGTCCAGTGGGCCTGGAGCAGGTGCATGGCATTATTTTTTATCCTAAATTACCATTACTTATTTTTTTATTTTGATAAAGAACAAAATAGCAATTTGAAGATTTTGTTCATTTAATATACTCTCCTTATGAGATCACAATATCAAGTTAGAAATACCTTCAGTATTTTGATGTCAGAGAAAAATCTTTGTTCTATTTTTTTGCAGTATTTATTTACTGTAACTTTTACAAACTGACTCTCTTGATTCATATTTTAACTTATTCATATATTTTGCCACTTTTGGTACTATCTGGATTTCTTCTGTAGTTATTTAATTTTCCTATTTTGACCCATTAAATACAGCTAAGGAAATCAGTTTATGTGGGCATTCCAAAGTAATAATAATTATTAGTACTTCTTTAGGACACATTTATATGAAAATAACAATGTTCTATCTGTTTTTAAGTCACCCAGTATCATTGATCATTCAACATGCGTTTTTATGGATAAGTAAGGTGGGGTCCTACCATGAACAAAGTATTTTAAAAAACATAACTTATTACCCTATCTTTAATATATGGCCCCACTCTGGTTCTTTCTCCACACAACTGCCAGTGATTCTATGAAATCAAAAGCCTACCGGTGAGATGACTTCTAAAAAGGAAGGCTAATAGCTAAGAAGAAGAAGAAGGAGGAAAAAAAAATAAACTAAAAACCTAGACAGCAAATACCTTCATGGGGAAATAGGGTCTTACATACTCTTTCCAACATAAAAGTACTAGAATATCTTTGATGTTTAAATATAAGTTACAGGGAAGAAAAAGAAAAACAATAGCAGTATTTGGAACTGGGTCAGTTTTTTTATAGCAGCAATTGGGAATAAAGCTCAGGGCACATACAAAACTAAAAGAAACAAGAAAGTTGTTTTCTTTGGAGAGACTAGTAGCTGGAAACGACAAAAAAATAATGAGGCAAGGTACTTAAGGTCAAGTTCAGCTATATTTTTCCTGAACATTCCATAGGCTCTAGAGATAGCTTTAATATACACTATGTAATTTTAATTGAGGACTGTTCACAATTGTATGTGAGCTCAATGTAAGATAGCTGCTTTCTCTGTGTACCCAGCTTTTAATAACTGAATGTCACCAAGGAGTATGCTGTCAGGTTTTTGCCTGGCAGCTATTTGTTCTCATAATGTGGGAGTAGATTATTTTTTTATAGAATTATAAACTTTTGATCCATTTGGATTTAGTTCACAAAGAAAAGTTAAGTGGTAGAAAAACTTTTATAATACTTCTTCTCATATGTATCATCAATTGAATATATGTGAAGTTTGGTCATTTGTTAAAAAAAATACTTAAATATTCAGTAGTAATTTGATGTATATAACTTACTAGGAAAGGAATTACATTCTTAAGAGAGAAATCTGCACAAAGAAATTGAGGACGCTCAGGAGTAGTACATTCCTCCTTCTCAGGGTGTAATTAACCCCATGCTTGGGAGCCTGTGGTCCTGGGTTTGGGCACTGGATGGCAGTGCTCAGATACTCACAGACATCAAGTCAGGGTGGGAGGTGGTATTCTTGCTAGACCCACTGACTCACTTTTACTGCTACAGTACTAAAAAAATCTCCATTTAATAACAAATACTCATGTATCTAATTTCATTTCTATACAGAGGGAAATGTAAAATCAGGTACAAAAATGTTAAATTTGTGTTGGACCATTTGATTTTAATGAGATCCCCCCTCCCCATTCATCCAATATATTTTTACTTTGTAGGTACTGAATGGAAGGTACTATGCTAGGCCCTACAGGGAAAATAAGAAGGAAGAGATGCGTTCTTTGTCTCACAAGGCACTTTTGATCTTATAGGGAAAATAAGACAAGGCAAATAATAAACAGGAAGCAGCGGGAGAGGAGCATAGCCCTAGAGTAGTCCAGAAGAGGGAGGGCCTGCTTCAGGGTTTTATGACTGAGAAAGCTTCATCATTAGCTGGGGCTCACCTTGGGTAGGATTTCAACCCACAAAGATGACAGCGGGCTCCTAGGCCAAAGAGACAATATGAAAATGAAAAGAAGAAACCATGCTTAGGGCAAATTCAATAGCCTTAATTGGATGGATAAATGGAGATGTGGGAAAAAAGAGTGGGAGATAGGGTCAGATAGGTAGATCTGGCTGGTAATTCAGGAATTCGAGGGCAGTCACCGAAGCCTTCAGTTTAGTGAACAATGTACTACCAGAAGAGTAACTGCGGTATGTGGAAGAAGAAAAATTACACAAGTAGGATGATAGCAGTGTGGGGAAGGGGAAGGCAATAGGCTTTTTCCTCTTGCCTAGATACTGAGAAGTTTTTATGTTCTCTTATCAACTTGGAAATTTTCTCTCACTTTTTATTTTATTTTTTTTTTAGTTTTCTCACCTCTTTAATTTTCCATAAAGCATCAATATTATACTGTCATATATGCATATGTATGTGTATTATATATGTATTTGCTTTTTTAAAAAAAGAGCTCTTCTTAGTCTCTTGTGTCCAATATAGGCACCAAAAATGTATTTAGAAATTAAATAAAGGCCACAAGTACTTCCCAAGGAAGATTATTAAAAAAGAAAAATCCTTTCTTTCTCTCATGTCATACAGCTAGCTTTCAATGCACGCTAGCTAATGAAAAGGTATCACCCATGATGACAGGAAGACTGAACTGTTCCCTCTTTGGGTGGTAGCTGAATTTCTATTAGCAGTCCTAGTAAAATATTTAATTCCTCATTTGTTCTAAGCAAGTCTTTTCTTCAGCTTTCTCCCATTAGAATATGAAGACTTGGGGATTCTGAATAGCATGGTTCTGGGTGGGAATCAGTCATTTTAAATCATGTGTTGGCTATGCAGAGAGGGAAAGATATGCGACAACAGCAGGGGAGGAGGAGAAAAGAAATGTAAGTTCACTGGGAGCACTAGAAGACAGCAAGCCTTTCAACGGTGTTGCTGGTATCTCACTAAGGCCCAGGCTGCCACCATGGTAAGAGAAACACTGTCAGCAGCACCATAGCTATGGGAATACCACCTGCCTCCCCTTCTGCTCCACATCCTATAGGTCCATTCTGCACCTGTAACCTGTGCTGCACTCTCAATGACACAGCATAGCCTGCATTACCACACAGGGCTACCACATCCCGTTGCAGCAGGTTCTTTAGGTCTTGACCATGTACCCAGAGGATCTATCACCCACCCTCCAGGAGCTGCCCATCCAGGGCTGTTGAGAGCCACAGCCAAAGGGGCCCCAGCAAACTTCCAGCTGCCAGCAAACTTCCAGCTGCCAGCTGATGATTGGCTCACAGCGGCCCCAGCAACATCTAGCTGATTGGCTCCTCCACGGAGCTGCTCATTGGGGGACTTCTTTGGCTCTGCCCACGCAACCCAGCCAATCGGCCTCAAGAGAGGAGGATTGTGGGAGGTGTGAGGTTTGTGTGGGGGTGAGAGGCTTGTGGAAGCCAGTGGTGGCAGTTGGGCTCTGAGGGTTTTTTCCCTGAGGAGCTGTTTTGTTTGGCGTTTGTAGTTCTAAAAATAAAGTTAGTTTCTTTTGACAAGTGGCTCCTGAATTGTGCCCAGCCAGACTGCGGCATTTGGTGGCTCGCACGGGGAGCGACTGAGGGTAAGTAAACTGCTCGCCCCTGAGGGCAGGGCGAGAGGATGGGTAGCCATTCTAAGTTTACTCTTTTGTTTTGCTTCATTTTTGTTTTAACTTGCCTGTCCCCGGAGGTGAGTGAGAGGGAAGAAAAACTGCTCACATTTGAGGAAAAACTATTTGCGTCTGAGGAACAGATAGGGAGAAAGGACGGATGCATATGTCAGGAGGATAGAAAGGCTGATATAATGATTTTGTGTGGTTCCATTTTTATTG